TCTGTTGAACTGCGAGAATGCAATGCACGAACTGGTGGTGTGTGCAGTGCATTTTTGCGCCTACGGTTCTTGGCACTATGTAATCTGAGTTGTGTTAAGAGTTGTTTTCCCTGGCGCCTATTTCGTCTAATACCATTGTTGAGACTCGGGAAGATGGAGAGGGATATCTGTTGTGAATAGGGAAGAGATGGATATATACAGAAATAAGATAAGAGACTAATGAATGATTTAAGCTCTTAACACTTTATAAGCTTAGTGGCGACTGTTATATCCAGGAATCCAGTAATCGGTTCGACGATATTATTACAAAATGAAAGGGGAAAAATGTGCTGACTGTCACCCTTGATAAATCTGAGCCAATATCTATAAATCCTTAGACTCCTTGGAAAGCCGCACGTCACCTCCAAACCGTAAGATTTTTTACGAGTAGGGATCGCTCGTCCGGGAATCGCCCTTTGCAGACGAAAAGGTCAAAGTAGATCATAAGGTATCCTGAGAGGAGAGAAGATTTCCTAAGTGGCCGACAAACCAAAACATTAGAGCTCACGAACTCTCCCTCCTCTTATCAAGACATTTCCTTATTCCTTCAACCAAAAAAGCAGAACACATTAGATATCGGTCTTCATCCTTCACACGTGTACACCATCAAACACAAAAATCAGTTATCCGTCTCTTTTGTTTTGTTTTCTTTCCTTTTCCTCTGGGATTTTTACACGCTTTCCTAACATCGTCCTTGAGGAAACCCATGGATTGTGGTTTCTACGGCAATCTCCTTCAAAATGTGTTAACCCAATTTCCCCAACAATACAGGGTGGCCGTTCAGCTTTATTCTCGAGTGTCATCCCATTACGGACTTCTTTTTTTTTTCTTGAGTGTGCAATTTTCCAAAATGGCTCTCAGGAATTGCAAAATGTCCTGCAAAATCCGCGGTTAAACGTACATTTTTGGTTATCTAAGGTCTGTCGTTTGAGAAGCAACAGAATTGTGATTTTCACCGTTGGTCAACTTTGCGGGATTCTTTTCACGTGAAAACCTACTTTCTTAGCCAGAAAAAAAAACGCTGTCCACATATGCAAATACATTTTCTATTGCTATAACAACGTATAAAAAAGCGTTCTTGAATATCGGAAAGTAAAAAAATAAAAAAGGCGAATAGAATACTATAAACATTCGCAAATTATGAAGACCTAAATCTCAGACGGAGTTTGATATAACGATAACAATGTTGATAATAATACTAACAATGATACTGATAATAATGATGATAAAAAAAATGATAATGTTGATAAAAATGATAACAGGGATAGAAATTATATCAGTGATGATAACAGTGACAGAATAGAAATCATGATCGAAATACTAACAATGATAGCGATAATAATGATGATAATAATGATAATAGAGTAATGATTATGGTAATAAATATTATAATAACAATAACAATGATTATAACACAACAACAATAGATAATAGATAATGGATAACAATGTTAATAATGATAACAGCAACAACAATATGAGTAACAATAACAATAATAATAGTAATAACGATAGTTATAGTAATGATAATGATGATTATAATAATAATTATCATTACTATAATAATAATGATAATAATAATGATACTACTACTACTACTACTACTACTACTACTACTACTACTACTAATAATAATAATAATGATAATGATAATGATAATAATATTAATAATGATAATGATGATGATGATAGAAATAGAATGATAATGATAACAATAAAGATAAAATTGATGATAATAAGGTACCACTAAGACTACTACTACTACTAGTACTTCTAGTTATACTGGGGATAATGATGATAATAATGAAAATATCAACAACAACAACAACAACAACAACAATAATAATAATAGTTACAATAATAATAACAATAATAATAATAATAATAATAATAATAATAGTAATAATAATAATAATAATAATAATAATAATAATAATAATGACGTTGATAACAAGGACAAGAACAATAATTATAACGATGATAATAATGAAAATAATAATGATAATAATAAAAATAATAATGATAATGATAGTAATTATAATAATAACTATAATAATAATGATGGTAATAATGATGATAATAATAATGATAAAGATAGTAATCATAATAGTAATAATAGTAATGATAATAATATTAATAATGATGGTAATAATAATAATAATAATAATAATAATAATAATAATAATGATAATAATAATAATAATAATAATAGTAATAATAATAACAATAATAATAATAATAACAATGATAACAATAGCAACAATAATAATAATGATAATAATAATTTTAAGGTAGACGGAGAGGGAAAGGAAAAGAGAGAGGGAAAGGGAAAAAGAGAGGGAGAGGGAAAGAGAGAAGTAGAAGGGAAGGTTAAAGGGAGAGGGGGGGTTAAGGGTAGAAGGAGGGTTAAAAAGGGTATGATAAAAAAAGATAATGTTGATAAAAATAATAATAGGGATAGAAATTATATATCAGTGATGATAACAGTGACAGAATAGAAATCATGATCAAAATACTAACAATGATAGCGATAATAATGATGATAATAATGATAATAGAATAATGATTATGGTAATAAAAATTATAATAACAATAACAATGATTATAACACAACAACAATAGATAATAGATAATGGATAACAATGTTAATAATGATAACAGCAACAACAATATGAATAACAATAACAATAATAATAGTAATAACGATAGTTATAGTAATGATAATGATGATAATAATAATAATTATCATTATTATAATAACAATGATAATAATAATGATAATAATAATAATAATAATAATGATAATAATAATAATAATAATAATAATAATAATAATAATAATAATGATAATGATAATGATAATAATATTAATAATAATAATGATGATGATGATAGAAATAGAATAATAATGATAACAATAAAGATAAAATTGATGATAATAAGGTACCACTAAGACTACTACTACTACTAGTACTTCTAGTTATACTGGGGATAATGATGATAATAATGAAAATATCAACAACAACAACAACAGTAATAATAATAATAGTAACAATAATAATAACAATAATAATAATAATAATAATAATAATAATAATAATAATAATAATAATAGTAATAATAATAATAATAATAATGATAATAATAATGACGTTGATAACAAGAACAAGAACAATAATTATAACGATGATAATAATGATAATAATAAAAATAATAATGATAATGATAGTAATTATAATAATAACTATAATAATAATGATGGTAATAATGATGATAATAATAATGTCAAAGATAGTAATTATAATAGCAATAATAGTAATGATAATAATATTAATAATGATGGTAATAATAATAATAATAATAATAATAATAATAATAATAATAATAATAATAATAGTAATAATAATAACAATAATAATAATAATAACAATGATAACAATAGCAACAATAATAATAATGATAATAATAATTTTAAGGTAGACGGAGAGGGAAAGGAAAAGAGAGAGGGAAAGGGAAAGGGAAAGGGAGACATAGAGGGAAAGGGAAAAAGAGAGGGAGAGGGAAAGAGAGAAGTAGAAGGGAAGCTTAAAGGGAGAGGGGGGGTTAAGGGTAGAAGGAGGGTTAAAAAGGGTAATAATGATAATAATAATAATGATAATCATAATAAACATCGTCACCATCAACATCATGATTGTGACAAAAAAATCTATAATGACTATAATGATAAAAAAATAAATCACATCATGATAACTAATAACAATGAACTATATAATGATTACAGAAAGAAAGTAAAGAGGATAAACAGTAGTCAGTAAATTTATAATAATGATGATAGCAAGCAGACTATTCACAATAAAACGCTAATTTGTCATACCGAAAACGTGTTCGATGGGTATGGTTACCTTAACAGCTTATCTGATAATTGTATCGAGATTTTAACACTAGTTAATGAAGCTTGATGTTAACAGAGTAGGTGTCAAATGGAATATCAACAGAGACTGGACTCCAAGGGCAAATTATGCATAGAGATCGGTACGAATCGTTGTTGCAAACTTTGCTCTCCAGCGACAAAATTGGCATATTGACCGAGGCGACATGTTCTCGGAAGAGCAATATAACTCGCTCGCTGAAACGTTTATGGCGGGCAGATGAGTGTCGTTTGGTGGCAGTCATTACGAGGAATCGCCCGATGAACTTGCGTGGCGGCGTGGTGTCATCCGGGGGAGTGAGTGAGGACTTTGGTAGGACTCGGTGTTCAGAGGATGTTTCTCTCTCCTCGGGGCAAATAGATATAGTTATAAAAAGAACGTAAATATCAGATACATACACATAGAATTTTGTGGATTTTTTAATCATATACGCATCCTTATGTATGAATATTACGTACATGTACACGCACACACACACACACACACACGCACACAGCTACAAACTTCACACTCCCGGCCACTCACTCACCCGTTATCTTATCGCCTTCCGGGCGCGCCTGTGATCTGCTTTCCCAATACTCCCCGCGCTGCCATTGACTCCCAATTTACACGTAACGATCAATACAGACGTCGTAAGTACTTCAGTAGCACTCTCAGTATCCCAGCTATGCATGTCATCCATGGCATACGTTTCAGGCAGCGAAAACCCGCATCGGTCGCATTCACCATCAGCTACGTTCACACGGCTGTAGTACAAGGCGTTACCATCACTCCACTTACGAGTTCAATACTCATTTCCAACAAGACATTAGCGAAGGCAAAAGCTAAGGATCGTCAAAGGCCTGTTGCATCGGGTCTGCCGTTGAATGAGCGACGTTTGCCACCAGGTTGAATGAGCGACGTCTGCCACCCGGTCTGACGGAGCTGGGTGACGTGTGGCGGGTGAGGGCGGGTCAGTGTGTTGCTGGTGGCGTGCGGGTGAGGGGACTCCCGCTGTTTCTTGTCTTTCCGGCCTCAGCTACATCATTCTCAG